TGCAGAAGCAGCATCCTCAGGAAAAAAGGTTTCCATGGAAGCAAGCAGGTTGAAAGCACTTTCAGAGATTTTGCTAATGACAGAACTTGAGTTTCAGATGGCACAACGGAGGTTTTGGGGGAGGCCTAGGCTTCCTGTGGAGACTGGCATGATCTGGGATAAAGGGCATGAGAAGAAAAGCCCTGATGACTCCCTGTTAGAGAGTTGGGACCATAGTAGGGAGGAAGAGGGCATTGGAGGTGGAGCAGGCAGAGGTCTGGGGTCCCCTCCTTAGCCTTTCTATGGAGGTACTGTCTTATCCTCTGGATGTCTTCGACTCAAGGAGACCTCAAGACCAGAAGAGGGTGTCTTACTCTAACCCCTGCCAGTGGAAACCCAGGTGTCTTACTTTGGTCATGTATTTTTACATGAATGGTTCATTCCACACACCCTGAAGTAAACCAATCAAGTTTCCCTTTGTCCCGAACATTCCCACACACTAATTCAAAATTTGTCCTGAATTGGTCTGAAGAGCTTCCAAGCTGACTCAGAGTATCACCAAGAACCTGTTAGGGAGATGCAAATTCTCCAGCCCCATCCCAGACCAATGGGCTCAGACACTGGGGGGTAGTCCTAGTGCATTTCTTGGGTCTACAGATTTCTATCAAAGGTCAAGGCAGAGCCAAGGCCAATCTTCAATGCTGGTGTTCATATCACTGAGGACGCCAGGCCCATTCGTTGAGTTTCCTTTCCCTGGATAAACCCTCCACAATAAAAAGACAGGCTCCCAGTCATCAGAAAGTTAAGTCTTTCCTGTGTGAGATGCACAGAGTGGCACCTGCTCTCTATTCTGATGAGTTTTCTGGGACTACCATCCCTGTGGTCCCAAATTGCCTTTTGGGAGTGATCTTCACGCTTGAAGTTAATTCTTCAGACTTCCTCAATCCCATGAGGGCGGAGACTGAGGCTCTTATTCACTGCTGTCTGTGTCATGCCTGACACTTGCGTGGCATTTCATAAACATTGTCTGCACAATACCGAATAGACAGAGCTTTGTAAAACTCATTCAATGTCACTAACATGGTGCCAGAATCTGGGATGAGAACCCTCTCATCCTCCATTTGGTATTGTAATACTTTGTAATAATTGATTAGGAAGGCAATAATCATCATGATCATTTTTCAAATTTTCCTCCACTGTACTTGCACATTTTTTTCTTTCTAGATAAATTCAAAATTGTTTTGGCAAGCCCTGATCAATTGGTTTTCATTAGAATTAGATTAAATGTACAGCTTCATTTATCATTTTTTACTTCTTAACAATTTAGAAAGTCTTCCTATCCAAGAACATCTCTTCCAATTACTGAAGAATTTTTAAGTGAAGTTTTATAGTTTTCTTCATGTAGGTTCACACTTTTTTTTTTTTTGGTACTAGGGATTGCATCTAGGGGTACTTAACCACTAAGCCACATCCCCTGCCATTTTTTTATATTTTATTTTGAGACAGGGTCTTGCTAAGTTGCTGAGGCTGGCTTTGAACTTGCAATCCTCATGCCTCAGTCTCTTTTTTTTTATTTCTGTGGTTTTTATTTTGCTCACCTTTATGTAAGGTGTGAGGTTTACATAAAAATTCATTCTTTTGTGAATGGGGGTCCTGTTGTCCCTATGCCATTTCTTTTTTTTGTTTGTTTGTTTATTTTATTATTGGTTGTTCAAAACATTACAGAGCTCTTGACATATCATATTTCATACATTAGATTCAAGTGGGTTATGAACTCCTGCTGTTTTACTGCCTGGCCATTGCTGATATATAAATAAGCTACTAATTTTGTATGTTTTGGTACTGACCCCTTTACGTATTCACTTCTTAATCCTTACCACTTTTTTGGTTTGTTACTTGGAGGATATCCACATAAAAATACCATTTTTCTGCACCTTTTTAATATTTGTGTCTCTTATCGCTGCCTTCCATTGAAACATCCAGCATAACATCAGAGTCTAATATTACCTCCTTTTTCTTTTTCCTGACTTAATGTTTTACCATTCTGCAAAGAATGGTGCTGCTGCTTATTTTTATAGAGATGTTCTTCATGTAGGAAGAAAATAGCATTTTGTTTCTATTTTACTGAAGGTTTTTTCCCCGAAGAAATGGATTTTGAATTTTTTTTCCCAAAGGCCCTTTCAGTACCTAGCAAGAGAATCAAATGGTTTTTCTTTTTGAATGCCTTTGACTTTGGATCTGATCAATTATAGTTTTCTTACTAGTTAGCCATCAAAATTTATTACACTTGGATACAGAATGTTCTTTTAGTACAATGCTAGATTTGAGCTGACTGTGTGCTTGGGATTGTATTATATGTAGTCCCAAGTAAGTGTGTAGCCACCTGTTTTTATTTGGTGGGGGTTTTTTAATTTTTTATTTGTTTGTCTTGGGTTTTGTTTGTTTGGTCTTTGCCAGGTTTGGGTTGTCCAGGTTATACTTGCTTTGTGATGGAATTTGGAATGTCTTCCCTATTCTATACTCCAGGAATTATCTAATTCTTAAGTATACAAAGGAATCTGATCTAAAACTAGTCAGAGTGACTTTGGGGTTAGTAGCACTTTAAATTTTTTTTTAATCTTTACATAAAGCAATGTTGATGCTTTAAAGTTTCCTTTTAAATAATCCATTTCATTGAGATTTTCACATTTATTACCCATAATTGAGTACAGTATTCTCACATCTTTTAATCCCCTCTGTTCTTTCTATTTTTTTTTTTCATTGATCAAACTTGCCAGAACTTTGGCTATTTTATTGGCTTTTACAAAGAGTCAGCCCTTAGATTTATTTATCAATTACTTTTTCTTGGCTTTCTAATTGATTCATTCATTTCTGCTCCTATCTCTATCGACTCTTCTACTTTCTTTAGGTTTCTACCAGGGTTTCCAGGAAGGCGTGTACAAATAGATGGTGACCTACCATGAGCCCAGGCTATTAGAGCCCTTATCCGGGTCACCCCTACTCTAGAACTCTGGTTGCTCTCCAGCTGCCCGCCAGCTCAGGGTTCCTAGGCTCTACCTCTGGGATCTTGAATTACCACCTCCTGACCACAATTCTCTCTACTCAACTTGAACCCCATTCCTCCTTCTGCCCAGTGTAAGCTGTGGGGAAGTTTCTTTCTTTCCTCTTTGAACCAATGGGGCCAGAGGAGAAGGAAACACATCTATGTTCTATGCCGTCCTCAGCCATGCCTCAGCTAGACCCCACTTACCTCCTCCATCCCCAGTGGCCTGAACTAGGACAAAACCCTTCTGCTGTACCCTGGACCTCTTCCCTAAAACCTCTAACAAAGACAAGCTGTTCAGAGGACTCAGATTTTATCGTTCTCGGGCCCCTGCAGTTTGGCCTAATCTCCTCTGAGTTCATGTTATTAAAACGTCTCTAGGCCATTTGAGGGTAAGGTCTTATGATTTACCAGTTGTCCACTTAGATTTCACCTCTGCCCCCTAACTTTGCCCCAGTCATCCAAAGAAAGACTTGAAACCGACTCCATTGATCACATGAATAGCAGGATCCTGAGGAGTTTCAACTGGAGTTGCCAAGTTCACTTCTCACAAGGAACAAGGGAGCTTCTCTCCTGTCCCCTGCCTACCTGAGTATGGATCATCAGAATTCTGCCACCTTGCTCAGGTTCCAGGATCAATGCCATCACCTCCTCCTACATTAGCATCAATTTTGCCTTCACTCTGGTCCCAAAAAGAATCTTTTTCCTCAAGTACTGGGACACCTTCTCTTATCAGAAAACAAAAACTTCCAGATAACTCTAGGGAAATACAGTTGTCTACTTCAGGAAGAGCCTACCTCCCTCCTTCCCAAAGCATAGGTGATACATATTAGCTGAGTTTATATCCGAGTATCTTTATGTAAACTTCCACAAATCCTTTCTGAAACCAAATATAGTGCCATGTGCCTGTAATCCAGCTACTCCAGTGGCTGAGGCTGAGGCAGAGGATCACAAACTTGAGACGAGCCTCAGCAACTTAGCAAGGCCCTAAGCAACTTGGCAAGACCCTGTCTCAAAGTAAAATTTAAAAGAAAGGACTGGGGATGTAGCCCAGTGGTAAAGTGGTTGCCCAACTCACATAGATCCTGAGTTCAATCCCTGGTAGCATAAAAACAGGAATTGGGGGAGGGAAAGAGGAAGTCCTTTTAAGAAGTATGTAGAGTAAAATGTATGGATGACTATAAGCCTTCAATTCCACTGAAAATGATACTGATTCAATTTCCTGGGTCCAGAGCTAGGGTTGGGAGAAGGATCCTCCAGACAATTTCTGCTTCCCCCAGGTCCCACCCCACAGTCAGCCTGTGTAAAAAAGCCAGAGTACTATGGAAGGTGCCAGAGACTTGCCCACTCATGCTCATCTGGCCAGTGAGCCAGGTCACACTCCCAGCCCCAAACTTGACTTCCAGAACCCATGGATGACTCACTCCATAGGCAAAGAGGGCACACCTGGCCTTTTACCCAGGTTCCAGGGAAGAGATAATATTAAAATGACACTCTGGAAAATCAATGAATTTCCTCAGAGCAGTGATGTAATTAGCAGCTCTGCCAGTCAGTGCCCATAAGTGCTGGGTGGAGCATTTCCTGCAAGAAATTAAGCCCCTGTCCAATAGCTTTCCGATAATAGAAATAATATATTTGAATTTTATTCATTCAGAAATAAAATCCATTGGCTCTTGCTCTTTACATGTAGCAGCTGAATGGCATTAAATATTTGGATGTCTTTCTAATCATATTTAGAATAATGTTGAAATCCATGAATTACTGGGTACAATGCTGGACATATTTACTGTTGCAATCCACTTTAGAGTCCTTTTCATCAGACTTTTGGGTTGCCAAAGAGGATCACTGTAAGCTGGCAAAGAAGAGAGCTCCAGAGTTCCCTCTGAGGTTTACCCTCTGGAGGAGGATCTCAGGGTTGGGCCATGGGCCTGGAGTCAGCTGAGGACCTTCTCTTACCAATGCTGATTTTCACCCACAGTGCCGCCTGTCATCCGCGTCTATCCAGAGACCCAGGCACAGGAGCCTGGAGTGGCAGCCAGCCTGAGATGCCATGCTGAGGGCATTCCCATGCCCAAAATCACTTGGCTGAAAAATGGCATGGATGTCTCAGCCCAGATGTCTAAACAACTCTCACTTCTAGGTAAGAACTGCCCTTGCTTCTGTATTCCATCCAGTTCAAGCTGGTTCTCACCCCAGGAATGACAATGAGAAGCTAGATTCATTTCTAAGTCTGACATGTTAGGAGGGAACAGACATCTCCCCAGATTTCCTTGTCCATGCACAGGTCTTGGGGACTTTCTGAGAGCAATGATGAGAAGCCATCAGGTGCCAGTTTGCCCTCAGTGAGTTTCAGTTGTACCAACCCTTCCTGGATGCATTATCCAGGATGTTGGCTGCCCCAACCCTGCCCAGGGGCTGTGTTTTCAACTGCAACACTCTCAACAGTCCCAAGAAGGGAATGGGGAGGAAGGGAAGGAGGGGGTCCAGTAGAGCAGGCCACCCTGATCACTGATCATTTTTCCTGCAGCCAATGGGAGTGAGCTCCATATCGGCAGTGTTCGGTATGAAGACACAGGTGCATACACCTGCATTGCCAGAAATGAGGTGGGCGTGGATGAAGATATCTCCTCACTCTTCATTGAGGACTCAGCAAGGAAGACCTGTGAGTCCACTTTTGCCTTTATGCTCCTCACTGAGTTGGTTGGGGCTGTCAAGTGGCAAGAGAGGGGACCAACAGACCAGGGCCTCAGCTGCCAATCATGAGCTCTTAAAGGCTAGAGTAAACCTATATCCTCTATGCACAAAATTGGGTTCAGAGGACACCCAGATGTCAGACCTTTCCTGACAACCTAGACAGCTCTGGAAACATAGCAGAAGTCTATGAATAGCAGACAGAGCCCAGGACCACAAGACAATTTCAATATCCCAGCCCCAGTTCTGTTTCCCACTTGTTGTCTGATCAGAATCTCTGCCCCTCATTCCCAAAATCTTTCATACCATGCAAGGTGCCCCCATCCCACAGTGGCCCAGAAACTGGCCAGTTCACACAATAATACCATCTGCAGTTTCACCTCCTATGGCCTGAAAATATTATATTGAAAATCCCAGAAATGAACAATTCGTAAGTCTTAAATAACTTTTATTGCAGTATATTGTTGTAATCTATTTTGTCATTATTGTTGATCTCTTACCATGCAGAATTTATAAACTCAACCTTATCATAGGAATGTATAAAAGAAAAAATATAGTGTATAGAGTGTTTAGAACTATCCGCGGTTTCAGGCATCTACTGGGGGCCTTGAAACATATTTCCCACAGATAAGGGGAAACTGCTGAGTATGCAAACCATTAGGCCTTAACCATGGTGGCCTTAACTCCAGGGATCATCATTCACCTATTGTACTTAGTGTGCTCTCCGTGATAGCCACTGCACCCCAGGGAGAACCGCAGGTAAGAATCCATGAACACGAGTGTTGGTGGCAGTCTCTTTCCCTTGGTCAGACTCCAAGCTATGCCTTTGTCATCAAAGAAAATAATCAAAAGTATTTCACAGGGTCTTCCTACGAGGATCCTAGTTGAAAATCAATTCTCCTTGAAGTAATCAGGGGAATCTGGGAGAGATGTTGCTTGCTCTCTATCATCCACAGAATGTGGGGAATTTTATTAGCTGCTGTGATCCTGGGGCCTAATTTCAAAGATTCATTTAGCAATCAAGAGTCCTGAGACCTGGAAGTGTTCACTCCCGTCCAGAGCTACAAGACAGATGCTGCTGCTGGGCCAATGAGTCGATAAGTGATGGACTGGGTACCATTATGTTCTAAATGAAATGTATCACCACAGTAAAGGTTTGACAATGCTTTCCTTTTTCCCTTCTGGCAATCGTGTTCTGGCTTTCTTAATTCTCTGCTGTACAGTGGCAAACATTCTGTGGAGAGAGGAAGGTACCAAGCTTGATTGTTCCATGTCGTGCCTTTGATCGCATGTGTTCATGGTTCCATGATAGGTCGTCTCTCTGAGCAGCCATCCGTTTTGCAGATCCCAGGCAGTCCCCTCAAGCAGGGCCCACATGCCAAATCCAATGGAAGGGAGGCAGTCAAAATCAAATTCAAGTGGCATACCCATTGAATCAGATTAAAAACCTATTAGTGTCTTTAAAGGCACAGTTTAAAACGGAGAGTTTCATTGAAAGCTGCTTGTAACCTCAGATAAATCAGACTACTTGGCAGGAGCTCCCGGTCAGATCTGGGCCCTGTGCTTTTTTCCAGTAGCTGATACTGATGTCGGGCTTTGTGCTTTATCTTGTGTTGTTTAAAAAAGACCAAAATGTTTGAGGTGTAGCTCAGTGGTAGAGCACCTTCCTGGCATTTAAAAAGCCCTGAGTTCTATCCCAATACTGCAATAAATAAAGTTAAAAAGATAAACCCCCCCCCAAAAAAAAAGTTGCCCGTCCCCCCTGGGATCTACAGTAGCTATACCTTAGGTATGCTGTGATGAAATAAAGAAAAAAGCAACCATAGTTTCTGTAAATATATATTTTTCCACATATACATTTTCAAAAGTATTTTATTAGTCAAATCCTTAGATATTAGGTTGATCCAGATGAAAATGCCATTTTTGTATGTTGAAACTGGGTTAATATCAGCAATTTCATGTGGTTCAAAATGGTGCACATGTGGGAGCTGGGTCATAAAGCCCGAGTCACTGCCTGAGGTGCATGTTCATGCATGGGTCCTAGTCCTATGACCCCTGCATCAGATCCAAGTTCAAATCACCCTGGGTGACTTATTCTCCAGCTCAGTGCACAGAGTGGAATATGAGAGGCTATAGGATGCACATTGAGATTGCCAGGGTTAAACATAACATCAATTTTAAAAACCACGTGTTTCCTGTCTCATTTTTTTCTACAAGAACTTTGCATAGTGTTCCCCACTGTCTAGCATGTGTGCACATACACAAGCCCAGGACAGTTTCCTGAATGTGAAACACTGAAGCTGACAGTGAATCTGAGAGCAAAAGGCAGGACCCAGAACATGAGGAATTCTACCAACAGCTCCAGTTGCTGCTCTCAGTCCTAAGCAGAGGTCACTGCCTGAACTGAGGCCCCAATGCACAAGCAACTTGTGCTCCGTGTTTTTAAAAAGTGGCATCCTGCTAAGGGGAGGTTGTTGCAGAAGGACTCAAGTTTCAAAAGTGGAGATCTTACTAGGGATGCAAGAGATGTGAAATGAGCTGTAGAAACCCAAATTCTCCCTGACAACCCACAGCTGCCTCAAGGCACAGGGCTGGCCAGTGCTGCGCTCTGAACAATGCAGCAGCAAGTTCTATCATGCCTACGTGGCTAGATGCTTGTGCGCTTCACTGATGAAATTCAAAACCTGGAGAAAGGGAATACCGAAACCAAGAGGAAAAAATCATGGACCTCACAGCACATTCAAATCTCTAGCAGAGAGGAGATGATGAGAGTAAACAAAAACCAGAAAGCTCCTTTAGAAGCTAAATTCAACAGATCCTTCTAAGGGGCTGGATCATGAAGTTGGGTCCCCTGTGAAGTCAATTATGTATTGAATGAGTATCTTTTGAGCCTCATATTCCAGTGCTGACTGTGAACAGGGCACTGTGCTCAGCCGGAAATGTAGCTATAGCTACCCACCCCATGTGGACTCTATTAAACTTTCAATCTTGTGTTAGTTCTTCCAGTTATTGATTTTCCAGGAAGCCCAGGGAGGCTGTTCCCAGAGTCTGTGGTTTAGCAGGGACTTGGACCCCTCTGGTCCCTAGATGTGAGTGGAAGCAGTTTGCCAAGTGAGTCAGACCAAAGGTGTGCTGGCTGCAGACTGCAGAGTCCTTGGAAGGAAATGAGATGATTCTTATTTTCCTGTTTTATTATATTCTAACTCAATAAATCTCATCCAAAACAATCCATTAAGCCAGTACATGGGTTTTCTCAGCATGCCAAGAAAAAGTTTTCCATATATTTTTCTTAGAACTTGTAAAAATCTTGATGTTCTCTCTTTAAAAGAAATGGAGAAAGGGAGATGACAGGAAGAAAGTGGGGGGAGGAAGAAAGAAGTTGGGAGAGCTCTAGATCTTACATCTCTCTGTGCCATGTCTCTCCTTAATAGACAAACTTGGGAGACAGAGGATCCAGGCAGGACTCATGGTCTAACTCCAGCTTGAGTGCAAAGGCAAGTAGCCTTGCCCAAGCCCTTCCTTCCTTGACCTCAGACTCTTTATCTTTAAAGTAAGAAGACTGGTCCCCAAGGCCCTTTCTGAGGTCTGAGTGTCTTCTCCACAGAGATCTACAACTGTAGAGCAGGATGGGGGCAGGCAGCACTGCCCAGCCTTGATGCCCCAGAGACACTCATGGGCCAGAATAAAAACAAGTTGTCTGAAAGGACCAAATGACCAAGTGCAGACAAAGGCATAGCAACCATAGCATCCTTAGGTTCCCCATGGCAGTGAGTGTCTATATAAAATAAAAATAAAAACAAAAAAACAGCCTTTACATTTTTTGGTACCATCTGGTCCATTCTTCTTTGACTACTCCACAAAATACTACTCCACTAATCAAGGGAGGTTTTCCTTTCAGAATGGGAAATGTCAAACAAATGTCAATGCCAAGGCCATCATTTATTTGAAAACTTGTGTTGGTGACCAGCGCTAGGTGATGTAGGACAGCTGTGGATGTTTGGGAGGACAGCCTGGGTACTACAGAGCTGGGGATGGGCTTTATTGATTCCCAGCCTTTGGGGCACTTTCTCCAGGTCCTCCATCCACCATCAAGCAAGGGGTCTCGAGCTGGCTGCTCATCCCTACCTCCACCTCTGCTGGGAACTACAATTTTTTTTTTTTTTGGTCTGCATCAGTTGCATCCAATCTGCTTGAGTCTTGTGTGCTCCATGTTGCATGTGACCCTGCCTGGAGCCTGGCTGCTAGAAGGGCATGACCATGCTGTGTTTGCTCCTCCCAGGACTCAGTGTGGGAAACATGTTCTACGTCTTCTCCGATAATGGTATCATTGTCATCCACCCCATGGACTGTGAGATCCAGAGGCACCTCAAACCCACAGAGAAGATTTTCATGAGTTATGTGAGTTTCTGTGCCTGGGGAAGCTTCTACATCACACACAGAATCCTAAAAGTCGGTGCAACCATGTGCTCCATGGAGTTTCCTAGATTCCATTTATTATGTGCAGTATTTGTTCCAAGGCTAAGGAAGGAACACATGAGCTAAGAGTTCTCTTTCTTCATCCAGCAGCCACTGCTGTGCCCTGAGCTATAGGTGAGGCCCAAGGAGCACACATGGGTTCCTGTCCTTCAGAGGTTCATGGTCATAGTATGGTGAACATTTAGCTGCCAGACAGGTGTGCCCTCACAGAACTGGGGAAGGAGAGCATGAACACACACGAATGCCCAGTGTGGCGGAGGTGCTATGGATGAAACACAAGACCTGGTAGAAAGTGACAGTGTGAGTGGCAGAGGCAGAAGAGATGGTTACTGGTGGCAGAGCCAGGAAAGCCCTTCCCACTCCTAAGACTGCTGCCAGGAGACACCCCCAAGAGCTATGCCTCCCACACCAGGCCTCTCCCTCTGGCTTGCTTCCCAGTTGGCCTCATGAGATAGTCTAAGCTCCTCAAGGACTGGACTATAACACTGAATCCAAAAGGGCCATTTCAAATCCCCCTCCTGCCCTCCTCTGAAGGACATGCACAGAAGTCCTCAGTGGGTGCACAATGAATAGGATGATGAAGGCAATGACTGTAGAATGTGTGGAAGTGGGCTTGGCTCAGGAAGTTCCTAGGTCAGTTTGATGCTCTGTTGTGCTGGCTTGTGGCAGATCTCAGGCTGTTTCCCTTCTCAACTGTGTAGCTTGGAACAGCTATTTTCCAGTCTGTTTCATTGGAAATAATTATTTCTTAGAAGTACAACCTCTAATTAACTTTTCTTCCACACAATAACCATGAAACTAGTAGGAAAGACTGGTCCTGCTTAATTTCTAGCAATTAGGTTTAAATAATTGCCCTCTGTCACATGGGCACTAATTTCTCATATATTTCCAATAACCTAACCATGAAGTGAGTAAAATCTCCCAGATCCTAATTGGTACTCCGTATTACTGGATAAGTAGTTAGAACAGGACAGTAAGAAGGTGTTTCAGACAACAGAAAACCATGGGGAGCCATGCAACAATCCCCAAAAATGGTCTTTATATTAAAAAAAAAAAAAGTCTAAATCCCTCACCAGAAGGTTACAATGGGACAACCCTCCCTAAAAAGTGCAGGGTGAGGAGGAAGAGATGGCGCTCTGACCTCTCTGCTAGATTAGGTGTCCATTTGGTCCAGCAGGAAGCAGCATATGAAATAAGGTGTAGCCTTCAGTCATATAGACCTGGAGTCGTAGCCCACCTGTCACTCAGTAGACTAAATGGCTTAGAAAAGTTACTTAACCTCTCTAAGCCTCAGCTTTCTCTAATGCAAATTGGAGGTATTATGAACACTAGATACAGAGAAGGGCAATGGTAAAAGGACAGAGACCAGCTTTATAGCAATTGCAGTCATCTAAGAGAAAAATGGAAATGGAGGCAGGAATAGATGAACTCAGTGATTTTAGAGGTTGGCTTGGTAATCCATGATGACTAATAAATGGTGATTTTTATGAAAGAAGGAAAAATCAAAGTTGTTGTTCATGCCTTGGACTTGGCTGACCTATAGTGATGGAGACCCAGAGGGAGAATCAGATATGGAAAGGGATGGTTCAGGTATGGATGAAGTGGCTGTGAAAGAATCAAACAGGAGCTGGAGAAGAAATTTTTGTGCCGTTAGCAATAAGTATTGGCTCAAGCTAAGGAGATAGACATGGGTGTGTGCCAGAGATCTGAGATGGGTACCTAGAATGGAATTCTGGGATACTCCACAGCTCAGACTGAGAGGACCACTAAGAATAATAAGACAAGAACTGGCCAAGGTAATAAGGAAACCAATGGGAATATATGTCATGAAGACAGACCAAAGAAGATCCCCTTTTGCACTCACTGATTCATTCAACAAATATATTTGAAGCACCAACTCTGGGCTAGGCACTGGGCTAGGGATGAGGATATAGAAGACAAAGACCCTGCTCTCAGGGAGCTTACCATCCAGTAGAAGAAGAAAGACTGTGCCCAGGTGTACAAGTCAATGTATAAAGTCAAGTGTACCTAAGAACTACAGTAAAGGAAGGGAGTAGGGAATGCTAGGGGCGCTAAGGTAGAGGAGGTCAGAGGAGGCTCCTCAATAATCAATAATCACCTAAGCAAGAACTGAAGGAAACAAGGGAATAAACCAAACAGATATTGGAGAAGAGCATTCCTGGCAAAGGAAATTACCAATGCCAAGGCCCTAATGCAGGAAGCTGGCTTGATTGAAGGTAACAAGCGTGCTCATGTGACTAGAGTGAGGAGGGAGAAAGAAGCAAGAGAGAATTTTATTGGGGTAGGAGGAGTCAGAAAGAGTCACATGATCTGACTTCCATGTTACAGTGATCCCTGTCTATGGTTGCTGTGTGGAGAACGGGTGGGCGAAGGGTAGGATGGAAGCAAGGAGCACAGTCTGGATGCTAAGCAGTTACTTGGGTAACAAAGAATGTGACTTGAACCAGAGTTGACAGAGGTAGGATGGTAAGAAAGGGCATAATTGTGGAAATATTTTGAAGGTAAAACTGAAAGGATTCGTGACGCCTTTGATGGGAACAATGGACAGGGGAGAAGAGTCAAGGACAGCCCCACAGATTTTGGTCTAAGAATGCAATGGAGCTGCCAGTTTTTGAGTGGAATGAGCAGGATTGGAGCTAAAATTGACCACTGATTTTTGGCATACAAGTTTGAGATTCCCATTAAACAACCAAGCAGGGCAAGCCATTTAGTTATATAAACATAGAGTTGAGGGGAGACACCCAAACTGAAAATGGAAATTTGGGAATGTAAGCATGAAGACTGCACTTACACCCATAGGTTTCAATGAGATCAACAAGGGAGTTGATTTTAGTGAAAAAAAGAAATTCACGAGTGAACCTGGGGTACTGAGACATAGGTCAGCAAACTGAGCAGAACCCAACAACACAGAAGAATCAGCCACTGCAGATGGATGGAAGGAAACCAAGCAATAGTCAGTACTGTCAGCTGATGGCCCAAGTGCAAATAAAATGTTGATGATGTTTAATTTAATGACCAAGGAGTCAATAGTGACCTTGGTGACAAAGCTTTGTAGTAAGGACTAAAGCCAAAGGGTTGAGGAGCTTATGAGCCATGAGAAAGTGGAAAAAGAGTGTGGGCAACTCTTACAGATCTTTGGCCATTAGTATAAGTTTCAAATGACAAAGACGAGGAGAGGAGAAGGTAGCACACCAGAGTGGAGGAATATGAACCAGGAAGGTGCTGATTGAAAGGGTACAAATGAGGTTACAGCCTCTGAGAGGTGGGAGGAGGGATGTTGGGTGAGAAATTGATGATGTGGGAGGACTGGTGTGCCATGTTCTGTCTATCCCATGGTTTCCAAGAGAGGGAAGAAAGGGACCAAGGGAGATCAGGAAAGAGGGATTAAGAAGATACATAGCAGCCTCTCTCCTTTACAGGAAGAAATCTGTCCCCAAGGAGAAGGAAGTGCCACCCAGTCATGCCAGTGGGCATCTGCGGTTAACATCAGGAACCGGTACATCTATGTGGCCCAGCCAGCACTGAACAGAGTCCTTGTGGTCGACGTTCAAGCCCAGAAAGTCCTACAGGTACATTTCTTGAAGGGAACGAGGATGATGCAAATTCTGGGGCATGACCTATCACATGCTTCTTTGCTTTCTGCATATTCCCCAGCTCCTAGGAGAGGTGCTCTGCTTGGAAGGAAAAAAAAATCATGTGCAGCTATTCACTATGCTCAAGAGATAGCCGTGAATGAGCACTGAGGTCCCCAGAACTTAGATTGTAATCAAAGAGGCAGACCATAAATCAGAATTTCAGGGAGCTTTGAAAAACTGATGAAATATAACAAAGGGACTGTAATACTTTTCAATGGTCCCTCTCTCTAGAGGTGAATAGAATCTGAGAACTGAATGCCATTCAGGACACAGACTGGGAGCACCATATATTGATGAGGGCAAGAGTAGGATGCAGCGAGGTCATGGGTAAGCAAAGAGAGGGCCTTGGAGGCCATTAAGTCCTAGAATAAAATCCAAAGTGAGATAGAAATCCACTGAAGGGTAATCAGAGGAGTGACATGATCTGACTTATATTTTTAGATTCAATACATCTGCTATCTTAAGAATAGATGGGAAGAGTAGAGAGATGGTGGGATCTAATCCAGAGGAGAAGATGATAGCAGTGGAGGTGGAGAGAAATGATCAGATCCTTGGTGTATTTTAAATGTGGGGCCTAAAAGACTTTCTGATGGGTTAAACATAAGGTTCAAGAGAAGGAGGAATCAAAATGTTTGTTTGCTTAATGGTGATGCCATTCACAATGTGTGGTAGGCTGAATTATGGTCTCCAAGATGTCTGCATCCTTATCCCTGGAACCTGTGAATGTCACCTGTGAATGTGTTGCAAAAGGGACTTTGTAGATGTGATTAAGGATTTTCAAATCAAGAGATTATCCTTTGATTATCTGGGTGGATCCTAAATGCAATCAGAAATGTCCTTATAAAAGGGAGGCAGAGAGAAATTTGACAATATAGATAAAGAAGTCAACATGAGAACTAAAGCAAAATGCTACATTGCTGGCTTTGAAGACCAGAAACACCAAAGGGAAGGACTACAGATCTAGAGACTAGGAAAAGCAAGGAGAAGCCTTGGGAAGGAACATAGCCCTGCCAACATATTGGTTTTATCCCAGTGAAATTGACTTTGGCTTTCTGGTCTCCAGAATTGTAAAAGAATAAATCTGTCTTATTTTGAGCTACCAGATTGGTGGTAATTTGTTACTGCAGCAATATGAAACTAAATACTATGGTAGAAATGACTTAGGGTGGGGAAAACATGGAGAAGGTTGGGAAAAATTGTATTTGAAATCCTACTACACATGTAAGTGGAGACGACAGGAAAGCTGTGGGATAAATAGGTCTGGAGTCAAGAGAGGGTCTAGGCAGGAGATCATCACCCTATGGACTGATTAAATCCAGAGAACTAGATTAAATAATCAGAGTAATATAGAAAAAAGAGTCAAGGTTGGAGATTTAAAACACTCCAGTATTTAAAGATCAAAAATAAGGAAGAAGTCCAAGAAGGAGTAACCTTAAAGAAAAAAATAGAAAAGGGTGATACTCCAACTGCCAAAAGCAGAGAATGTTCTAATCGATAGTGGTCAACAGTGATGAATGCTGTTAGGAGCATTCACATGTTAGGAATTGTGAACTGGCCACTGGGTTTGATACCACAGTCATGGGTCACACGGATGGGAAATGATAACGGTGATTGTGAGCTTGCTGGTGCAGATTCAAGTTACAATGATGGAGAATAAAGTGGGAATGTAGCCAACTGTATAGAGGAGGTTTATTGTGAAAGTAGGCAAGTGAGGCAGCTGGAAGGGGATGTCAAAGGAACTTATTTAGAGTGGGTGACATCACAGCATTCAGTGGAATTCAAGGTACACAAGTGAAGATGCTAGCCCTAGCTAAAGGAACATTCTTTCATTGGAACAGGAGGAAATGGAAAGCATTCAGGCACAGGTGCAAATTGGTGGTATAGTGGGTGGTAGTTAGATGAACTTTCTTCTGGTTGCTTTCACTTTCTCAGTGAAATAAGAAGGAAAAGTATCACCAGGGATGGAGGTCTGAGGAAAGAGACAACAGCTGAATGTGAGATTGAATTAGCCAGGTGATAGTGCTCCTGGACTAATAGTGAGTACCACTTCAGGACTGTGGATGTAAATTTAAAGTGAGACCAGTCAGCAGAGTTTGTCTCTTTCCAGCAATGCTCAGCTGCCCCCATGCAAGTTCACTGTATAAAGAAAGTTGTGTATAACCAGCTGTGTGGTTTCTCCTGGCAAATGCAACAGAAGGCTTTCTACCTATTTTTGGTAATTGACCAGAGAATACACTATGAATAATTTCAGTCCTTTGAAGTTCAAAAGCTTATTCTATAACTGAGCTTTTGGTCAATTTTGGTAAATGTTCCATGTGCACTTTGAGAACGTTTACTCTGGTATTGTTAGGTGTGGTATTCTATACGTGTCATTTTGTTCAAGCTGATTCATTATATTGTTCAGATTTCTTATCCCTACTGATTTTCTCATCTACTTAGTCTGTCAGCTGATAAGAGGTGTGTTAAAATCTTCCACTGTGATTATAGATTTATCTATTTCTCAAAGTTCTATCCAATTTTGCTTTTAAATTGTAATTTATTTCTTGGGGGAAAGATGTCTTTATTCTTAGGAAAATAACACTCTTATATCTACTAATGCTACTTTCCTGAAGGTCTATTTTTGCCTAATACTAGTATAGCTAAATCAGGTTTATTTTTATTAGTGGCCTTGTAATATTTCTATACTTTTAATTTCAATCCTTCTATGTCTTCATATTTTAGGTTTTCTTTCATAGAGTAATATGGAGTTAAATTTTGAGTTTTATCTAGTTTAATAATATTAGTCTTTTACTTGGAGTATTTGATCCATTTATATTTAATGTAATTAATTTTATAGTTGAGCTATATTTACCAGCCAGGCACAGTGGCATATGCCTGTAATTCCAGCAGCTTGGGAGGCTGAGGCAGGAGGATCACAAGTTCAAAGCCAGCCTCAGCAATAGCAAGGCTCTAAGTAACTCATTAAGACTCTGTCTCTAAATAAAATACAAAATAGGGCTGGGGATGTGACTCAGTGATTGAGTGACCCTGAGTTCAATCTCCAGTATCCCCCCCAAAAAATGTATATTTACCATATTACTTTTTTATTTTATCTTCTTATTTACATGGTTTTGTTTTCCTTTTTTTATTTGTCAAACATTTTAATTCTATTTTTTATTAGATTGTTGAAGATGCCCCCTTATGATGTTGTTAACATCAGAGATTATAACACTCATCAGTAGAGTTGCATAAAAACTGTTACTTCATTTCCCCAATAATATTAGAATACTTTAACTCTTTTAGTCATCCTCCTGCATTACTCTGGTAATGAATCTAAATTCCACATGTAACTTAACCACATAAAACATGATGATCATTTTACCAAGCAAAAATTTACATTTAGCCACATATATATCTTTCTAGTGTGCTTTATTCTTGAAGTCCATAGCTCTGTGTAGAATCATTTTAATAGCTCTTTTTAGTGTCTGCTGGTAACAAATTCTCACAGTTCTTGCATGAAAATGCCTTATTTTGTTGCTGAAAAATATTTTCACCAGGTGTAGAATTTTAGATTGGCAATTATTTTCTTCTAGCATTCTGAGAAGTTGTCCTTATCTTCCTTTGTTTCCGTGGGTTAACTGTCAGTCTTATCAATGTTCTTTTGAAGGTAGGGTTCTCTCTCTCTCTGCTTTTCAGACTTTCTCTTTGGTCTTCAGCAGTTTAACTATGATGTGCCTGGGTGTGTTGTTCTTTGTATTTATTCTCATTTGGGGTTGCAGAAGTTCTTGAATGTGTAGAGATCTTTCATCAGATGGGAAAATTCTCATCAGTTATTTCTTCATGTTCTGCTGCCTCATTCTACCCCCTCTTTTCTCTCTCTCCCTCCCCCTCTACCCCTCTTCCCTCCCCCACCTCTCTCCTCTCTTCTTCTGGAACTGTGCTTTAATTTTTTTTTTAAAGGTCAGACCTTTCCACTGTGCCCCACATCTCCTTCAATTTGGATGTGTTCCATCAACTTCTCAGTTTGATAATTCTGTCTTCTGCTATGTCTGGTGGGTTTAACAAAACCTATTTATTAGGTTTTTTTCAAGTATTTCATTTTTCACTTCTAAAATTCCTACTAGAGCCCCTATTTATATATAAGTTCTCAATTATTAACTTTTTGTGACTCACCCCCGGATCGGTTTTTGTTGTCTTTTTCATGTTGTTTTAAGTCATATCATCTGCCTTTTGGAATGCCTAGAGATCTTTTTGAATCCAAACATTCTATATAAGAAATTTTAAGGACTTTAAATAGTTATCATCTACTTAAAAATGTTCACCTACTCTGGTAGTCAGGGAGCATAGAGAACCAACCGTTTTAAAGTTTCTGGAAGACTCTATTTACCTCTTCAGTCTTGAGGCTTTTAAGTGAGAGCCTGGTTTTTTTCACTAGGATTTCTTCCCTGCCAGATCTTTGCTCTCTACCCATTAGGCTGTGGGAAATTCTGCTCTGATTTTAATAGATTTTTAGCTTAGCTCTTCAGGTTTCCTCCATACCACCTCAGGACATGAAATCTGATGGTAGAAGCTTAAGCAGAAAGAAGAGACAATGGATCCCATCCAAACTTGAGGGAAATTTTTGCTGTGAAGAGGACAGATAAATGAGATATCTAAAGGAGAATGTATAATCCAAAGGGTTTAGAATGTATAAAACAAAGGGTTTGGCGGGGGGGGGGGGGAGGGGGTTGTTTGTTTTGTTTTGTTTTGTGTGTGTGTGGTGCTGAGTTTGAACCCAGAGCCTTGTGCATGCAAGGCAAGCATTCTACCAACTGAGCTAATCCCCAGCCCTCAAAAAGGATTTTTTTAAAAAGAAACAACAAGAAACTAAATATAGTGTTCAAGGGATATCATTAGGATAGGTTAGGAAGCTCTAGGTCAGGGGAATGGTATCAGGGAAGTAGGAAGTTAGCAGATAAATGAGAACAAGGAAGGCTCACTGGAGACCACAGAGGCCACGGGATATGTGAATTCAGGAAAATAAAATCAGCCTCTCCTTGAGGCTCAAAGAAGGTGATGATAAGAGAAGAAACATATTTCAGTTCTGTAATGTGTGAGGTTCAGGCAACAGGTGCATGTAGAGAATTACTAGATTCCAATACCAGTGGAAGGATGTAGAAGGAGAGAATTAGGCCAAAGACGAAGAGCTGGGCCATGCCAGCTTGGACATCAGACTGGAGTGGAGGAGCCAGGGAGGTGGAAGGGCAAATGAAGACAATATTTCTAGAAGGGACCAGTGAACCACAATGAGGTCTTGCTGAAATGTCAGGAGGATCACAAGGTGACCTTGGAGCTTGGTGTGAAGGTCTAGAATAGACAGAAACTTAGTGGAAATGAGTTCAGGTTAAGTGAAAACAGGAACTCCAAAGACAGTTCTTTAAAGAAATTGTTGCCCAGTATGACCAGTGTGGACAGTATGAGCAGAGAGGCTAGTCATTGGTCAGTCAGAAAGGCTAGAATATGGTCAGTTGAGACTGAAATTTTGGAAATTATATTAACAAGGTATAACTTATTGAGGCTGAGTTGGGGTAAAGGTAAAGACTGTGGAGACCAAAAAGGAACTAAGAAAGCCAGGCTTCAGATGAATTATCCATGTGGATTTGAAGGCACCAAACTTGGTGACCAAGTGTATGGTAGAAAAGAAGACAGTGAACCTGGTGTCCACATCTTTTGTGAACAGAGTATAACTAGGATGTTGGCCAATGACAAGAAGAGCTGGGGCCATAGTCTAATGGCATGAGCATTACACAACAAGGGTTTTGAACTTATAAAACTACATGATAAGAAGTTGAAAATAGCCTGCATGTAACAAGACCCTAGGAGAAACTATACCCTCAGCAGAAAGCAGTTTCAGATATTGCAGTTTAAAAAAATAAAATAAAAAGAGAGTGTTAGTCTGCCTGATGCCACAGTCTAAGTTCCAATAGCTTCTGTTAAAGAATATGGAAGAGGCTGCACAGAATGGAACAAAGTTAAGAGAGATGATCTCAAAGTCTGCCTCTGATGACCCAGGAGGGAAGGACCAACTCATTAAAATTCAGAGCACCAAGCAGCTGGGAAAGGATACTGAGGGTCCAAGAGGCCCACAAAGCTTCTAGGAACAGTAAAGGGAGAGTCCTGTAGCTGGTTCCTGAGTGGAAAATGTAAAGCCTCTGTGTTTAGGCTTTTGCCAAGTTGGTTTATATTCCTTTAAGTAAAACATGAAAAAAAAAGTTAATAAAAGAGAGAACATAATTAATAACTAATTTATGTCTGGGAAGTCAAAGCCCAAGGGGAGGTTCTGCCCTGGGTTCCAAAACAGGGTCACTGACAATGCTATAAAATCAGCCTTCCACTCTCCTGGGAGTGAGGCCCGTGTACAAAAACCCAGAAGGGCCCGTCTCCATCAGCCTCTACCACAATGATGACCAACGTGTCACTGTTTTTTTCAAGTCCATAGGTGTGGATCCTCTGCCGGCTAAGCTGTTCTATGACAAGTCACATGACCAAGTGTGGGTCCTGAGCTGGGGGGACAGGCACAAGTCTCAACCAAGCCTCCAGGTATGTTGAGTGCGTGGAGGCTGCCACCCATCCTATAGAAGGACTGTCTCCCTACATGATAAAGATCTCCTGCTTTCCTAGGTGTCTAATCACATATATCCACAATATTTCCATAAACCTCAAGGAGAAAGTAGGAAAAAGCCTCAGGGTAATGCCCCTCTCAATTAACAGGATATCTTAGGCCATGCCTCTTGCTGAAGATAATAATATGATGATAATAAAATTCCGATGTCATGAGAACCCAGTCCCCACCAACCCCACAATACCTGCCTCTTCTGAGCTAGTAACTCCCACAATCAGGATAAAGCCCTGGGTCCAGGCATTGAGAAGGGAGACAGTTCTTTCTTCCACCTTGGGCTAGACAGACTGGAGGATAATATGAAAGCAAGTAGTAGATGCTGGCTGTCTTAATCTATTTTCTGTTACTATAACAAAATACCCAAGGCTGAATAATTTATAAAGGAGAGGTTTATTCTGGCTCATGATTCCACTCAAGATCAGGCAACCTCAACTGTTCAGCTTCTGGTGAGGATCTTGTGCTTCATCTTGTCATGGTGGAGACATAGAAAGAGAAAGTCATAATTAAAAAAGGAAAAGGAGCAGCAGAGAGCAATTATATCAATAAACAAAAACACAATGTCCTGAGTGCTAGTAGTTTGCCTGTGGCTGTGGAGGCCACGTCGTCAGCCCCTGCACTGTGCTTACTATCTCCTAGGAAAGGGCTGAGCTCTGGAGATCTGTAGGATCCTCACTCCACCAGCCAGGGAAAGTCACCCAGTCCTGTGCTGAGTGTGCCTGACCTAGCCTTTCTCACCAGAGATCAGGACAGGAGTGAGCCCTACAAAAAGTGAATTCAATGCCTGTGCGCTCCATCTTCTCCAAGACACTGCAGAGGGCTGTTCTGAAAATGCAGGAGAGGAGTTAATTCACGACATACAATGGGTGGCTTGGGCCATCAGGGTTTCTCCCTCAGAACCCTGATTGAGGAGAACTGCAAACGAGATGGTTCTGCCCTCTTTCCAAGACTGGTGAGAGGCTGGGAAGGCCAGAGTCTGGAGAAGCTCCCTCTCAGGGACTGACCACTGGCCCCAACCACCAGCCAACCTCCTGGTGCTCTGCTGGGTCAGGTAGAGATGCTATTTCACCTCCTGTAAACTGAGATTACTATTACTCAAGGGATGCCACTAACCAGCCCTGGGTTCCAGTGAGCTGAGAAAATAGTAATAATAATAATAATAGCCCTCTGAGGACCTAGGAGCCAGAATAAAGGTTTCTCCGAACAGAGCATCAGCCCAGAGAAATAGAACTGCCTGTGAGATCCATAAAATAAACGCTAAGAATGTACCTAAGTAAATTCAAGAGATGGGCCACCAGAAAAGGTTTTGTTTTGTCAACTAAAAATGAGCAAAATTTTTTCCTAATTTGAAACTACAGTCAGTGAATTAGAAAATTCAATGGTTTCTACTGAGAAAAAAAAAATGTAGGCTGAAAGATGAATCTTTCTGAAATCACAAAGCAAACACATGAAGAGATTGAGATGTGAAGTAAGGACCACAGAAGTTTAGACAAAGGTCACAGTTGAAATGGAATCAAACATTAAGTAAATTTGGAATATTAACCAGGTAAATTGAAAGGGATCTGCAAGTTCCAGTCTAAATTGACAAGAAATGACATCTCTGCCCTTTTTAAAGTAAAATTCTGGAACTCCGAGAATAAAGGGAAAATCTTGCAAGGGAAGATCTTTCTGAGCAGAAAGAGCAAATTACCTATAAAAGACAAAACAAGCAGATTGGCATTGAACTTCTCACCTGCAACAGTAGCTGGACGCCCACGGAGCCACATCTACATACTGTGAAGAAGAAAAGGCTAAAACCCCACGGTCCTGTTCCAGCTGAGACATAATTTACCTGTCAAGACAAAAAATAAATAAATGATGTAAGGGTATGCAAACACTCTGGGAGTGTGTAGCCTCACTTAAGATACTTAGATGAACATCAGATGGACCAGATCAAAAGGAAAGAGAAAAGGGAGAGAAAGTGTTGATGAACCAAAGAAAAAGATTTAAAAGCAAGGGGGATGGAAGGTATAGGAGGAAAGTAAAGTGGCTTGAATTGGGAGGGACACTGTGCGTGAGAAGCACTTGACAGCAGACTATAACTAAAGGTGGAGCTATTTCAGTCAAAAATAAAAGGAGGGAGAGGAAGCTGAAGGAAAGTAAAAAATACTCAAAAATCTCCCTCTGTCGGGATGAGAGAGGATACAGAGAACGTTGAAGAAGGAGTATCTCTTACTCCAAATGTGACCAGCTGAATTATCTTATTAAAAGCAGAGATGATCCAATTGGGCTTAAAAAAAAGAAAGAAAATTAGCAACAAGTTCTTTACATGAAATGAAATAAGATGAAGTGATAAAAAAGGTTGAATTTAAAGGGGTGGGAATAGTGATAAGAGGTGAGTAAGAGATGTCTGGGAAAGGGAACAGGAACATCAGATGAGGCAACTTCAAGGTCAAAAGCTCTGAACAGTCGTCAGAGAGACGTTGACCTGCCAAGGTGTAAAACATAACTAACTACATAAAACAGGAGTGTCTTAACAATTAGATTTAAAATGAACTTAAATTGTACATACCGAGGAGACAAAGAATGATATAAAAAATTAATAGAAACAATGAGCTGAGTTTAATAAATATAGGCAATCTTTCACCTGCCAAATAGAATTTTTCACACATTCTCATATATAAAAGCCTATTGAAATCATAAGAAAACCTCAAAATTTTTGTAAAATTAGATGTTATCGGCTATAGTATCTGATAATTTGAAATAGTTCAATGGTAACCTATTTCATTCCCAGATAGGTATTGGATCAAAAGCAATTTGGGGGGGGGGGAGGGAATATTTCACATCAAACCCAGCAGGATACACAGAAAGCTGTATGCAAGGAATAGTTAACAATGGAAGCTTGTTAACAATGGAAAGGGAGTATTTGTGTTAAAAAATTGGGAAAAGAACAAAATGTTAAGAAGGAATTAATAAGGACTGAAATTAATAGAAAACAAAAACAGAATAATCCTTCCCTACCTTAATGTAGAAGAGAGAAAACAAAAATAGACAAAATGTAGAATGAGAAAGGAACTACTACTGCAGATACAGGAAGATGAAAATAGCTGGAATTAAATACTACCTTGCAACTCTGGGTGGCAGATTTTAAAACCTTAAGAAATAGGTGATTGTTTATGAAATGCAAAAGAAAAGAATAGTACCTAACTTTAGAAAAAGGAAACTTGAAATAGAACGATTTGTCATGGAAGGGTTTTTTGTTTTGTTTTGTTTTGTTTTTAGATTGAAGAACTGCCATAAAAATATGTACATCTGAATTTTATCAAGGCTTCAAAATATAGATAATTTTAATATTATTTGAACTATCCCAAACCATACAGGGGGTATACAGCTCCTTACTTTGTTTTAAAGAGCCAGTATAATTATAACTATAAAAATTGGTTTAAAATAATATTTTAAAAACTATAGACTAATCTCATCAATGAATACAGAAGCAAAATTCAAAACACAATATTAAGAGTCCAGCAATGTATCTGAATGCTCAAACAGGAAACACATTCCTAGGATGTAATGATGTTATTCATAACTCCAACAAATTAAAAGGAAAAAAGAGAATGTATTCAGTAAGTACAAAAAAGCATTTAATCAAATACACTAGACAGTCTTAATAAAAGGCCTAAAAACCAGAATAGAAGAAAATTCCTTAAATATGGAAAAGATCTATTTCCCAAAAAATAAGGCAAATCTTTGTCTACACGGCAAAACACTAAAAGCATCTTAATTAATAGGAGGAATTAGACAATGGTGATCATCATCCGTCCAGGAAACACATTGTCACCAAAAAAAGAAATAGTTAGGGTGGGTTACGGCTAAGGAAACCAGTACTTGCAAAAATTACTCCTGGAAATGTCACCTAACACAGCAATTATCAAATGGGACCCAAAAAGGAGTCATTTTTGATCCATCTCCTTGACTTTTCAGAATATATTCAAATGCTGTGATCATGAGTGTAGACGAAGATTTAGCTATGATATTCTATGTCACTGCATTGTTTATATTTGCGAAACATTAAAATATCCTAATATTCTCTCTAAATACCCACAGGAAGGGATTTGTTAAACAAATCTTGCTGTCACTACGTGAAGATGTATCCATAACTGAGGCCTCCCCAGCAACCAGTTTTTGAATGTTGGTCTCTCCTTGAACTCTGCCCCGCATGTCTAAAAGCTAAAATCTCAGGCCCAGCTTTTAGCTACCTCTCCACCTGTCCCACTGGATACCTGATTCCTTTGCATCTCTAGGTATCACTTCCCAACTGGCTTTGTCCACCCTCTGAGGGAAATGCCTAGACTTCTTGTTCCTACCCTTGTAACCAACTGACATCTCCTAATACTCAGCCATATACGTGTATCTCCTGAGGCAAGCCCGGAGAGATAGCTTAAGGGCACTTGTGGGCCCAGCCAAGTGCCAGGACACAAGACCAGGCCAAGAAGGAATTTATGACTCCAAGAAACAAGTCTGACATGCCCACATCAGTTCAGTGGCCCATGGTACTGCGTGTTGATGAAGTAACCTCTGAATATAGGGTGTCAGAGTGGTGAAGCGCGAATGACACTGACCGATGACAGCCTGTAATTTTCCATCTCTATTATAAGCTAAAATGACAGGCCTGATATCCAGCAGTGATTGCATGCTGCCTTAGAATCCTCTGGCATTTTCCCCCAGACACTCTGTGATCCAGTTTCCTTGTGCCGATATTTTCTTAATGCCCAGATCTATGAGATTTTCTCTCGTGGACTTGCCATGAAAGTATCATTTGACCATTTTTTAAAAAGGAAAATCACAGGAAAAATAACCCAGTGCTACTTGAGAACTGCCCCAAGACTGAAATAACAGTGAGCATCCCTCCACTCTCCGGCATTCAGCCTGCTGACCCCCAACTAGAAGCCTGGTGAAGACTCAAATCTCAAGCCTGCCTGAGGGGGAAGGCCAGGTGTTTGTGTTTTCATGGAAGTGAGAGCCAGAGGCAGGCCCATTCCTAAAAGGCAGAACATCCAGAGCTCCAAGTTGTGTGAGTCAGAAGCCCCCCACCAGAGGCTGCCCTCACCCTATAGGCCCAGCCTTGGGCTACAGAAATCTGGATCCCTCTTTCTGCATGCTGGCCACAAAATCATGATCAAGAAACATGTCTCACTAGGCTCTGCCTCCTGTCCTGCCCAGAGAGTCTGGGCTTATCCTTAGGGACATTAAACCAAAACTGCCCACAAGTTGACCAAACCCCTCACATGACTGAAGATCTCCCTCCTTCTGGGCAATAGCCTAGAACTTTAAGGCAGAGGGATACAGACTACCTGACTCAGGCTCAGCCTGGCCACAGGGGCTTCACACAGAGACCTCATTCTATCACATGCCACAGGACTCTCTCTCCTAAGCTGCCAGTGTGCCTTCCCCTGACACAGACACAACAGGGACACATACCAGAGAATGGTTCTTACTGTGTCCTGCCAAGTCCACGGGGGTGGGGGCGGGGGGGTGGGGGGAGAGCAGTGCATCCAAGGAAACAGATCAGCCATGTTCTGTCACTATCAATTTGCACAAAGCACAGGCCTAATTCTTTACTTTTCACAGCAAGTCTTCTTTGTAAAACCATCATCTCCCCAGCATCCTAATTGTAAGACATCTAACTGGCATGAGTAGCATCTCTGATGCATACCTGCAGGGAATCCCTGCTTTCTCAAATAAATCTCAGACTCACAACTCTCAAAGAATATCTCTGTGAATAGGAAACCACAGATTCCCTAACCCAGGGAACCTGGCACTGTGGGAAAATAAAGTCCCAGCAAACAATGCCACCACTTAATATTTTCATTATTAAAGGACTTTCCCTCTTTTCCTAGGGTGACCTTGAGATTGAGAAGGTGAGAATCCCTAGAGGGAAAGGAGGCTGTCTCAGAACAGAATGATGTTTTAGTTCCAGGAACCCCCCTCAGAATCTCCAACCCTATCCCTCAAGTCCTCATTCTGTCATTGCAATGGCTGGCACAGGGCACTGATGGCAGGCTGAGCCATGAAGGAGGGAATGACTGGGACCATCTCTCCTGCCTCACCACTTCCTCTCCCAGGCAGGATGAGTGCCTGCCTGCTGCATTCCTGAGCAGTTATGTTTGCTGCAGTCTCTTCCTTGAGACTTATCCACCATCTCTCCCTCCCAAGGAGCCCCTCTGCTGGGGGCCACACCTGAGCACACAGGTGTCTCCAGGCTTCCAGTCCTCTGCCTGGATGGGCCCTCACAAGGACTGTGCTCTATGTTGTAGGTGATCACAGAAGCTAGTGCTGGCCAGGGCCAGCACCTCATCCGAACAACCTTTGCAGGAGTGGATGATTTCTTCATTCCTCCAACAAACCTCATCATCAACCACATCAGGTAAGCTGGCCTGCGGTGCCTCTAAGGACTTCATGCTCCAGCCTTGCCCAGAGTGGTACCTGTTTGTGTCTCTTCTCTTCTCTTCTCTTCTCTTCTCTCTCTCCCCCGCCCCTCCCTTTCCCTCCCTCCCTCCCCCTATCTCCCCTGAACTGACTTTGGACTTATCAGGAAGGGACAGAAATGAACCCACTTCTGACAAAGCAGACCCAGAACTTAGTCCCCTTTGCTTAGCCACTCTGATAAAGTTAAGGAGGGTGCCTAGCTCCTAATACCTTCAGGAGCCCAGTGACATCAGGAAGTGTCATCTTCAAGGTAAGAACAACAGAGGAAGAAAGAAACTACAACACAGAAAGAAAGAAGCAACAGTGATTAGTTAAGCATCCTCTCCTTTTAGACCCAAAAATCTAGTAGAGGTGGCCTTGACTCCTGTTTTACTGGTGAAAATACTGAGGCTCAGAAATGTGAAGACAATGGCCAAGGTCCTGCAGACAGGAATTGGCAGAATCAGACTAAATGCAAAGCCAAGTCTCCTTCCACTGCCCCATTCGACCTCATTTCCAGCTAACTACAACCCATGGTTCCTCTAGGAGCCCCCAGGGCACCTGTGCAGAAACCCACAAAGAGACAAGACCTCCTGGATGTCATAGTTTTTACCATCATTCAAAATAGAAATTAATAATAATAGCCACGGGGCTGGGATTGTGGCTCAGTGGTAGAGCACTTGCCTAGCCCATGTGAAGCACTGGGTTCGATCCTCAGCACCACATAAAAAAATAAATAAAATAAAGGCATTGTGTCCATCTACAACTAAAATTAAAAGAATAATAATACTAGCCATGGCCTCAACTGCAAACCTTTCCCAACCTGGCCATTCCCCTTCCATATTCATTTTAGAGAGCCCCCAGATGTTTTCTCTAAAGCTCCACCTCCAGAAAACTCAGCTGGAGACTCCAAAGGTCTTATGGTGCTGTTTGTGCCTTTCTGGACTGTGATGTCAAGCACTTTCCTCCAGGTACAATGGTCCATTTTGGAAAGTTGATGTGGGGAGTCACACTTACCCTTACCCAAGGAAGAACACAGCCACCTTATGAGCGCCCTCCCTACAGAGTGCGCCTGGGGAAGAGCCTCTGAAGCTGTATTAATTAGTGAGAACCCCACAAAGGAGCTGAATTCAGCTAGGCCCCACAGTTCCTACCTACCTTTTGTATTCCCAGTCCTTCTAAGAGCATTATCACCTGCTCTTTCCATACTCTGGCTCTTTAGAGATGCTTTAAAGATATGCCTGGAGGGAGAGAGCATTTTATCCACTCTGAGATAGAGTTTTCCAAGAGAATAATATGGAAGAGATTTTTTTTCCTATTCCTTTAGGTGGAATTATCAAAAGAGCTTTGTTGAGTATAGGCTCTTCATGTCAAAGGGAAGTCCCACCTGAATTCATATGCTTAACAAGCCTCCAAACAGGACTTTCAGAAAGTCCAGATGTAAGCAACTACCCCTTGCTTGAGCCTCTCCACTAAAGTTCCCTTTCCTGTTTTCCACATTTTTTATTGGTGCATTATAGTTATACATGTTGATGGCAAAGTTCCCTCTTATATTGGATCATCTCAACAGTCCTAGGAAGAAACTGTCTTTGTTTTTTTATAATCACTGAGACTCAGAGAGGTAAGCAGCTTGCCCCAGGTCCTGCAGTCAACAGGGCAGCATGGTGGCGCCAAGTCATCTTGCCCCCAAGGTGACCACTGTCCTTGGCCCATTGCCCAAGGCTCTTTCTCCCTGCATCATCAGTGCCAGAGAAGAGACTTCCCAGGGCCCAGGACACTGATGGGAAATCTGTACCTGTGTAGCTACATCTTCATCCTCCAATTCTGACTCACCCTCTATTCCAGTAAACATCTGAGATGTGGGTTCTCTGATCTTGTCCTCAGGGGAAGAGTCTCTTTTCAGTGCATGCTCACCCTGGAAGCACAGGCCTTGCAGAATCAGATTCAAGGGCATCCAAAAGGAAGAAGCCATGGAAGCCCTTTCACCCTCCTTTAAAAATCATGTCTAAAGATGAGTGCATGTTGCTAGAGCATAAGTCCAGTAACATTTATAACTCAACCACATTTGGCCTGAGATCATAGATAATGTATTTAGGAAGCCATCCCCTGCAGAAAGATATAGCTTATTAATAGGCTATTAGATCACCGAATGATTGTGATAAAGGGAAAAGGGTAAGGAGGCAATCCTTTAAGACAAATGTCAGAGCCCCTACTCCTCCAAGAGGCCTCCCACTGTCTGACCTCCATTCTTCCCCTCCCAGGTTTGGCTTCATCTTCAACAAATCTGACCCTGCAGTTCACAAAGTAGACCTAGAGACACTGATGCCCCTCAAGACCATAAGCCTGCAAAGCCATGGCTGTGTGCCCCAAGCCATGGCACACACCCACCTGGGAGGCTACTTCTTCATCCAGTGCCAACAGGACACCCCCACCTCCACCACCCCGCAGCTGCTCATTGACAGTGTCACAGATTCTGTTCTTGGTCTCAACAGTGACGTAACGGGGACCCCCCATGTGTCTCCCGATGGGCGCTTCATTGTCAGCACCGCCGCCAACAGTCCCAGGTTTCACGTGCAGGAGGTCACAATGAGGGGGGAGATCCAGACCCTGTATGACCTGAAAATAAACCCGGGCATCTCGGACTTGGTGTTCCAGCACTCCTTCACCGAAGGTAATCAGTATGACATCTATGCCACCCTGGAGACACAGCCCGACCTGCTGTTCCTGGAACTGTCCACAGGGAAGATGGGCATGCTGAAAAACTTAAAGGAACCACCCACAGGGCCAGCCTGGCCCTGGGGAGGACCTCGCAGAATCCTGAGGGACAGCGGGTTATTTGGACAGTACCTCCTCACGCCAGCCCAAGAGTCACTGTTCCTGATCAATGGTAGACAAAACACACTGCGGTGCGAGGTGTCCGGCATAAAGCGGGGATCCACGGTGGTGTGGGTGGGCGAGGTATGAAGGAGCTCAGCACAGAGCCCTGGGCCCCACGGGCACCACCTAGTCCTGACACCGCAGCCCCAAGCAGGCGCGCTGTACATTTTCACAGACAAAAGCAAAATCCCGTATCCGCTTTGTGGTTCAACACTGGTCTCCTTGCAAGTTTCCTAGTATAAAGTATGCGCTGCTATCAAGATTGGGGTTTTTTCATTAGGAAGTATGATTTATGCCTCGAGCTGTGACAAGAACATAAGCTGCTGTGCAAAGGAATCATTTCTGTACCAGGCTGCACGCCGCGTCACCTGGGGATGCCGTGGAACCAAGAGATCCTGCTTTCCGGGGACACTCCTGTCAGTTGCCTTCACATTGTCATCATCCTGTCCCGCCAGCCCCAGCCAGAATTTTTGCCCTGAACCTAGTGGCCTGGAAACAGGGCTGAGCAGGAGCAGGGACTGTCCCTCTGGGAGTTCAAGGCCATCTGTCCTCGCTTGGGACCTCACTTTCTCCTTCACAGCCGCTTCTTGCTTTCCTTTCCATCTGACTTGGCGTAAGCCTGAGGGAGAGCCAATGAGACTTATTACACCTTGGGGGATGGGGAAATCACTCTCTTTATTTTGGAAATTTTTGATTAAAAAATAATTTTTTATAATCTCAAATGCTAGTAAGCAGAAAGATGCTCTACGAGGTCCAGCTATATTCTTCCCTGCCTTAGGCCACGTCTCTGGGGGTCACTCCTGAACATTCCACAGCCAGAAGAACAATGGTCATCCAAAAACAATGGCCCGCTATACCATTGCCGCTCCTCTGCCCCAGGTGCAGATCAGGCCATCAGGTTGGTAAAGACTTGGTCCTGTGTTGGGAACCCAAGAGACCAGGACAAGCCTGCCTGCGTACCTGCTTTTCACCACGGAAGGGGGACATTTCCCTAGCCAGGCCCGGTACCCCAGATTCAGGGCAGACTAGGCTTGCCTGGAAAGGTGTACCCAGCCTCCAGACTCTATGCAGAAGCCCCAAGGACCCAAGAGCTGTCCCTCCAGGTTTCCAATGGATGGATTTCTTTTCTACCCAAGACCCAGACACTCAGCCCAAGTCAGCACTGCACAGAGGACACTTTTCAGGAAGTGCTTTATACATGTCACAATCTATACACACTCCAAAACTCAGAATCCGAAGACTGCAGGCTGATAGCACCAAGTTATTCCCAAATGTCTCAGCCTATGCAGGAGATCAGGTGGGCAGCACAGTAGTACAGCCCAACCATCCTTGGGGAGACCGCCTATGTCAGAGACTCTCAGCAAGAAAGAGTCCCTGTTAACTTCTCAAAATACCCCTTTCCCAGCTGGGTGCAGTGGCGCACGCCTGTCATCCCAGAGACTTGGGAGGCTGAGGCAGGAGGATCTTAAGGCTGGGTAACATAGGGAGATGCTGTTTCAAAATAAAATTTTACCAAAGGCCGGGGTTGTCACTCATGGTAGGACACTTGCATGGCATGCATGAGGCTCTGGGTTTTAGCTCCAGTATGGCAAAAAAACAATAATAATTTAAAAACCCTGTCCTTCTCTCTCTTGTGTCAATGGCCAAAACTATACATGCTTTCTGGCTTGATCATTCTGTAAGCTCCATGGGTTGGGAGAGGTGGCCCTGTCACAGACACCTTAGCTATTTTAGCCACCTTCACCTGCCAGCATGGCCATGATTTTGAAATTATCCTACACACAGCTCCTTTCACTCCCCTCTGACTACCCAGCCCACCTGTGCTCTCCCCAATTTCCTGATACCAGCCCTTGTCTCCCGCATCTCCTCTCTCTTGGCCAAACACCCGTCGCCCACAACTCCCAGGAGAGTGCCTACACGTGTACGTTCATGTTTTTGACTTTTTTTCTTTTTAAGGTAAGACATGTAGGAAGAGGTTGGGGAAACTGACCTCTGGAATCTCATGTTCAGTTTTACAGTAGCTGGGACAGATAGTAACACACCTCACCCTGACACTGTTTTGTTCCTGCCTCAGTATCCTGACAGATTTACTCCTAAACTCCCACGTTTATCACTGAAATTCTCCGGTATACATGACTTTGCCTCTTGGCAAAATAGTGTCAACCCTGGCAGAGGAGTCTCTGAGCCTAAAGGAAGAAAAAAATTCCCACTATCAGGCCAGAACATCAGCCTGTCTGGGTCACAGGATTCCTAAGTAAAAGGGCAATCCAGTCCAAACTGGCCTTGTAAGTTGGGAGTGCCAGAATTGACGTCTGCTCCATCCACTCCTTTGCCTCTATTCCTCTGTCTCTAAATGTCCCTGAAAGGCACACCTACTTTCCACTGTCCTTACAGTGAAGCTACTGGAGACGACCAGCATGCAGGACACAGTTGAATTAGAGCAGGAAATCACGGGCCTGATGCCCAGGGCAGAGTTTCAGCAGCCCAGCCCTAGGAAGCCAAGTCACAAAGGCCAGAAGACAAATGTCTTCGTAGCAGTGAAACCAGAGGATCTGCTCAGATGGGAAGCAGGGGAATGACAGGCCAGACCTGCCTGCCCTCGCACATTTCAGCCACAGAAGCAGCCAGGAACACGATTTGAAACCCACTGGTGTGGACGGTACCAGCAGGACAGGTGGGCCTCCTGTAAAGAACCCAGCAGGTGATCTGATGAACAAAAAGATTAACAACTAAGAGTTGGCATCATTAAAAACGGATTGATTTACCAAAAGAATCACCAGAAGATGCTATCTACATAAACTCCATCAGTAATTTTGAAATACAGTTAATTTCACAAAAATTCATCAGTTCTCCCTCAACCCCTACCAGAATAATAATATGAACTTGTGGTGACATGAAGTCTTTGAAATGGAGGCTCTTTTTCTCCTTCTGCCCAAGTGAGCAGAACCATGCATGAAAGTTCTGGATCCAAAAGGCCCACCCAAACACCTCCAAATGGATGGTAGAAAGAAAGACTTTCTGGTGAATCTCTTGCACAGGCAGGCCTAAGAGTGGGCCACCCCAACGTGGCCAAGGCCAACAACCCAGCCTCAGCAACACTGACTAGCCAGCTCTACCGGGGGCTGGCCCAGACAGATTTCTTCAGTTCCCCAAGTCATACAATATATTCTGCTACCTCCCCCAAGACCCAGAAAGAAACTGGAAGAGCCCTGCAAGGTCTTGGCTGGGGCCAACTATGAATACCAAGCTCTAGGAACATTGACCCAGAGATAGCATCATTACAGATGGAAGCTCATTCCCTGTAATTCCACCCCAACCCAAACTTCTCCCCATAGCCCGCTCATGTGTGCAGAAGAGAGCTCCCAGCTCCAGGTAGATGCCCTGGAAGACGGCTTACAACCCAATTAAAGCCAAGAATGGCCTACCGCCGTGGAGCATTGTAACTGCTGAGTCTTCATTTAAAAAAGCAGCCAGGAGTTGGCTTTGTACAGCTACATCTTGTTTTCTGTTGACCAATAACCTGTGAACTAAAGGAGATTTCAGAACTGAGATGTGATACAGATTCATTCTGGATATATTTTTCTACAAGGGGCTTAAAAGTGTAGTCAATTCATTGTTCACAATGTGTTTCATTCAGGTCCAACAGATGTTGAACCGTCCTCACTAGCAAACCCCACCACCCACTGCAACCCTCCTCTTCAGAAGCAAACCTCCAGGAGAGTTGATCCTGCTCCCCTCCCTCCTATGCATCCACCAATCTACCTCACATTCTCCTCCCCTGCACCCAGCACCACTGGAATGCTGCCCCATGCCAGGAGGCCAGTGACATAAGATGACTGCCGTGCTGATGTGGAAGTCCTCTGCCAGCCTATACCAGGAACATCCATCCCAGTCCAACAACAATCAGAACCCATGAGACGCAGCCCTTTGCTGCCTGGAATTATACCTTAAACCCTAGCTCACAGAGAAGAACCTTGCATGAAAGTTGGATTCAAGATAAGAGAAAACTCACTCCAAACTATCAAGAAGTGGGATATTGTCCAGCAGAAAAAGACCATGACATCTCAGCCAAACCTCATCTTTTAGGGGGCCCAAGCTCCCCAACCTTCCTCTATTTCCAATTCATTCTTTCTTTCCTGTTCCCTTCCTGCAACTTTGGCCCCCTGTTCATGAGCTACTCCATAATAGCTCCCACCATTCAACGAGCAAATGATCTTGCTCCCACCCCAGTGCCCCGCCAGTGCTTTAGGGTTCAAGTGAGAAGTCACTCATTGACCAGATGCTATGATTTGCCATCAGATTGGCATATAGACATAGCAGTTTTGTTCAAGAAAGTCACTAACTGCCTTGGTTTCTCTCCAGAATCATAGAGATTATAAAACAAAGATGCTTCAAGTATTCAAAGGGGAGAAAAATATAGTGCCTATCCTCAGCGTGTGACTAAAAAATCCCAGGTAGCTGATGGAATTCAACTCACTTCCTGCTTTTGTCCACACCAGATTATCTGTAAGTCACTTGAGGATTTGAGCATCTTATCTGGGCCTGCAGGCTTTAGGCATCAGCCACCCAGCAGACACTGGGACAATGAAAAAGCATTGTCTGATGCCTCTATATCCTCCTTTGGAGCTGTGGGCAGCCAGTGGGGAAGACTAATTCAACCAAATACAATGTGTGAAATTATGGAAAATGAGAGAGAATGGAGATTAGCTTCCAAAATCCACAGCAAGGCTTTCGTAGCCGGCACCAGAGTATTTTGCATGTTTTTGCAAAGTCACAATTCACACATCCTTCTTTCCAAGCTCATCTTGATGGATATGGGAACCATCCCTTTTCCGTGTGGTCCCAGAGAAGTTTGGCCCTGCCCTGGAGGGCTCTGGGGGACTCAGCCTACACTCCACAAAGCAATAACTACAGACTGGCCCCTGCACCACACCTGGTAATCGGTGGCTCTCCATGTGTCACCATGACAGGATCAGAAAACGCTGCCCTTTGGAGGCACCCCCTTCAAGATCAGAGCTTTGTTTCTGAGAAAGGACAAATAGCATTGGTTGCTTGTGAGGCCCAAGCACCCCAAAAATGAAACAAAAGAGAAGCCCTAACTCTAGACCTACATCCACTGTCCAGCATGGCGCCTGAAGACCTATTCCTTGCTACTTCAGCTACTTCTGAGAGGCCAGGGAAACGGGCCTGCAGGCCACCCCAGACCTACAGCATCCAATGGGGGTGGAGACCTTGCTCCCTGTCCTCTCACACCACCTGCTGGCTTCCAGGGCTGGCCATCCCCTCTCCCGCCCTCCCCTGGTCCCATCGCTTCCTACCTTTGGGCTGCTGCCTGTGCTCTCTGAAGGCCACTGAGATGATCAAAAGCAGAACTGGGCATGGAGTTTTGCTGGAGTGGTCGCACACACCATTTCATGCTCTCGCGTCACGGAATGACCCTCAAGATGTGAAGTCACACACACCATTTGTCCCATTTAGATTCTCATCCTTCCCCACCTCAGAAACCTTTCAGATCTCTTATGTCAAGGCAGGTTACATTATTTTAAGCAGTTGTGTAGACTCCAAAATATATTTTCTGTAATCACCACTATTTCTCAAAAGGCCTCCTCCTGTAATTATTATACATGTGAATTTTTCCTTATTTATAAAATATATATATAAATTATTTTTAATACATCAACTTTAGTAGAAATTTGTACCAACGCAGTAACAGTATGTGGCATTTGAAATAAGTTTGTGTTTACTTTGACGTATGACACAGTATTGAACACATGATGTATTTGCAGTACCACTTGATAAAAAGATGATTCACAGATTATCATAAAGTATTGTCATTGTAAATGCTCTTTTTCTGAGGATTTTACAATAAAACTTAAGAAAAGTTACCTTTTTCTGGCACCAATCTGTCGGCAGTTGTTAAAGTGAGAATGGATTTGGGCAGACCATTCATCAGCCTCTCTTCCTGTCCACTGCAGTCATAGGTATAGGTGGCCTGATCACCTCCCTCAAAGGCCTCCACATCTAAATAGCATTACCTCGGGCTGGGTGCAGAAACACATGCCTGTAATCCAAGCAGCTTGGGAGGCTGAGGCAGATTGCAAGTTCAAAGCCAGTGTCAGCAACTCAGCAAGGCCCCAAGCAACATAATGAGACCCTGTCTCAAAATTTAAAATAAAAAGGGCTGGGGATGCGGCTCAGTAGTTAAGCACTACTGGGTTCAATCCCTGGCACAAAAACAAATAAATAAATAAATAACATTTGGGAGCAACACAGTGCTGCTCCCCATCTCTTGGAGAACTCAATGTGCCCAGCCCTGTGATATGGACTTAATAAACATTTATTTTAAGCCTTACAATAACCCAACAAGATAGGTACCATTGTAATCCCCATTTTACAGAAAAAGAAGCCAAGGCTCATCAACAGGGCCACGCTTCAAATCCAATCTACATACCTGCCAACACACACACCCTGACCATTGATGCTACTATCTTCTATACCCCCATGTGACAAAGTCTGACCCTCCATTGCTCCAGCCCTACTTCCTCACAGACCCCCTCACACACCTCTCTCTGCCTCATTAACATTAGAGGAAAGTCCAGCAATTCCCTTTGTCTACAGAAACCTGCATCTAATCTGAACCCAAAAACATAGAATAAAGCAGAAAGCAGACACCAGTTTGCTCTCTGCCCCACCTAACGCTGGGCTCATCCCTTCATACACTCGGGTTATCTCTAATGTATCACAAGTCCCAGAAATTCAAGGGTTGGCATTCAGGGGAGTCGGGTGGCAAAGGTACAGCCCATCCCAGGACCTGCCCCAAACAGGGCAGGGGCTTCTGTCCCATCTGACATCCCAACTATTCTCCCCTGACCAAGCAAAAGTAGGCCACACAGAGATAAAAAGTTACTGGACCCAGCTCCACAGATCTAAGTGAAGGATTGACTCATGTTTGGCACCTCCCATGGCCAGAACACCTCTGCAACCACATCTGCTCTCTTGTTCAATCATCATTTTCCAAAGACCATCGTCAGTACCCAGGCCATCCACATGGAGCCCACAGTCCACAGGAGTCAGAGACCCAAGAAGAACCATAGGTTCAAGGAGGGTGCATGTAGGAAAGCTTGCTTGGAGAAGTTTTTTTGGATGAGGTGATAGAGAAGTCAAGTGGGAAGGACAGAGGGGGGTGACAGACTGCCTGCCAAGAGGAACAGCAAAAGCAATGGACTTGCACAGAGAGAATGGCAAGAAGGTGGGCATGATGGGCACAGCAGTTGTGAGGGAAGGTCTCTGCACACAGTAAGTCCTGAGACTGAGAGAGCTGCAGGGTGGAAGCCACCTTATTACAGAGGTAGAGGCCATTATTTAGGTTCTGGGGCACATCATCTTTCCAGCTGATGAACTGAAGGTGTCCATGTAAAAAGGAAAAAGGACAGGAGATGCTGCCCAAAACATGCCTTTGTCTGCAATCTGCATCCAGGACCCAAAAGCCTGGATTTTATTTTTTTTTAACATGTCACAACTCCCAATCACCCTAACAACCAAAACATCATGACCCTCACTGAGAAAGCTTGCTGAGGCTTATTCAAAGTATAATAATCAGAAAAAGGGGGCAGGAAATTGAGGCAAAAATGAAGGGAGTCAATTTCTTTAAAGTCCAGTTCTGTGAACCCCATCCATCCTCTCTTCGAGGCCATCCATGCAGTTTCTATCAGTCAAAAGTCTCCAGAAACTTCCCTGGGACTGCCAAAAAAATAGAGGACAGGAGGAACGTCTTCTCTGAGAGGACTCACTCTCTCCCTTGCAAATGTGTTCCCTTTCCCCTTTCCTCTCCTTTTAATAAACTCGTGCCTATTATTCCGAGTGACATGTCTGAAATATTTCTGGGCTCACACTGATCGGTCTTTCTAAAAAGAATCTATTCACAAGAATCAAAATGAATAAGGGGTCTCTGGCTGCTGCAGCTCTGCAGCAGGCCTCTGCCCTATAAAAATACTCTATTAAAAGAATGAAAAGACAAACTTTGAACTAGGAGAAACTACCTGTAAACCATATATCCAACGAAGGACTAGTATCTAGAATACACAAAGAACTCAGGACACTGAACAGTAATATAACAAGCAATGTAACTAGAAATGGAAAAACACATGACTTCTAAAATTCTAACACAGAAATTTCACCAAAGAGGATATATAGATGTTAAATAGGCACATGAAAAGATACTCAATATCATTAGTTACTAGAGAAATGCCAATGAAATATCACCACCACATTAGAATTGCTAAAAATACTACTCTGAGAAAATTAAAAATAGTGACAACATCAAATGCTTCTGAGGATACAGAAAAACTTGATCATTCATACACTTCAGAAAGAAATGTAAAATGATGTGGCCTCTCTGGGAAAAAAAAAAAGTGGGTTTTTTATTTTTTTAATCAGCATTTGACTATCAGATGACTTGATAATTTCATTCCTGGGCTTTTGTGCAACAGAAGTGAACACTTACCTTCTCCAAAACCCATATACAAATGTTCACAGCACCTTTATTCATAATGGCCTGAAACAGGAAGCAACCCAGATGTTCTTCAGATGCAGTGCCCACATGATGACTCATTTATGATATCAATTCCTGAAATGGTAAAACTACAGAAATGGAAAGCATATGAATGGTTACAGGAATAAAGGAAGAGAATAGTGTGAGAGGGATCTAGGTGTGGATATCAAAAAACAATAGATGAGATCCCAGTGGCAATGGAAGTGCTATGTGTTGACTGCACCCACATCAGCCTCCCAGTTGTGCTATTGAACCATGGTTTTGCAAGATGTTTCTTGTTGGGAAAACTGGGCATTGGGCTCACAGAATCTGGGTTGTTTTTTTCATAATTGCACATGAATCTATAATTATTTCAAAAGAAAAAAACTTTCAGGTCCAGGTGGTATCAGCAGTGACTATTCTCAAACATTAAAGGAAGATATAAAGACAATTCTACACAAACTCTTCCTGAGAATATAAAGGAAAGAAAAAAAATACCCAACTCACTTTGTGATACTAGAATAATTTTTTACACTAAAACCCAATAAAAACAACTCAAGAAAAAGAAAATTAAAAGCCTATTGTACTTGTAATAAAGATAACAAAATCCTAAAGAAATAACAAACTGAATCCCACAATTCAGAAAAAGAAGTAATGCATTATGACTAAGATGGATTAATCTCAGAACTGCAAAGTTGATTCAACATTAGGAAAAAATTTATGTAATTTACCACATTATCAGATGAAAGGAGGAAAAGCATATGAATATCTCAAGAGATGTACAAAAATATTGAAAAAAAATCATAAATCAATTCACATGCATGATCTCCTTTTAGCAAAGTAGAAACAGAGACTTTATTAACTAATCATTCAAAATGAAGGTCTACAGTGAACAAATTTCAGTGAAGCGTGAACACTGGTGAGCTCCCTGTTGGACCAGGAACAAGACAAGGATCCCACTACCACCACATCAATTCATCACTGCATATCAGTCCTAGCCAGAGCCAGAAAACAAGAAGAGATGGGTGTAAGATTTGAAAGAAACAAAATTATGTGATTGTGTAGTTGGAAAATTAAAATGAATATACAACTTATTAATTTTCACAAGAGAGTTCAGTGAAGTTGACAACCAAACAACACAACATAAAAAATTATATTTCCATATACCAGAAACAAACAATAAATTTAAAAAAAAATGATACCACTTATAATAGAATTTAAAAGCACAGGAATAAAATTAATAAAAACAAAAGATCCCTCTGAGAAGAATTCTAGAACTTTAAGAGACATTAATTACACTAAGTGGAGAGATATACCATGTCAATGGACTGGAAGATTTCATAATATAACAGTGTTAACTTTCCCAGATTGATTCATAGAATAATATAAAGAAGGGATTTTAGAAAATTCCAAAACGTATATGGAAGTTTAAAAGATCACAAGTAGCTAAGAAACTCTTGAAGGAAAAAGGGTCTGGAATTTTCTCTATTAAATAAGACTCAATCTAAAGGTATAATAACTAAGACAATGTGGAATTGAGCAAGTTAGACAAACGGATCAGTGGAAATTAATACAGGGATCAGATATATATATATATATATATATATATATATATATATATATATATATATGAAAGTGTTATATCCAGTAGATTTAGCATTGCAGATTGGTGGGGGAAAGGTGAAATTTTTCAATAAATGAAGCTAGCGCAACTGTGTATCCATAAGGAGAAAAAAAAATAAGACCCCATCTGACCCACATGCAAAAATTATTTCCAGTTAGATTTTTTTTAATAAAAATTTAGAAGAAAATATAGAGCATCTTTATAACCTTGAAAATAATTTCTTAAATAAGATACAAAAAAAGGCTGTAGCTCAGTAGCAGAGTGCTTGCCTAACATGTGTGAGGCACTGGTTTCAATCCTCAGCACCACATAAAAATTTTTAAAAATAAATAAAGGTTGGCTAACCATCTACAACTACAAAAAAAAAATTTAAAGATTAATAAGCTAAGCTACATAAAAAATTGACTGTTTCTGTTTATTTAAAACACAAAATGTAAAAAGATAGGGCATCAAGTGAAAGAAGATATTTATTTGCCATAGGTACAGTGAAAAAAGTAACATCCATAATATATGAAAAACCCTCACAAATCAATAAGAACAGATGCAACAGAAAAAATGGGCAAGATTTAAAAAAAAAAAAAACCACAAAAGAGGAAATCCAGAAAAACCAACAAATATATAAGAAAGTGCTAATTCACATTAGTAATCAAGTAAGCCAAGTAAAATTAAATTATATAAATG